AACTCTGCATCAGCCGAGGTATAACTTAAATTTGAAGCAGCTAAGCGGCAATCAAATGGGCTTGACACACAGGAGGCGACAAACGACCTCGGTCAGCGAAATTCGTCGCTTTTATTACCTGACACACGGGAGGCGACCCGCGGCAGCGGCCAGCGGCAAAGCCGTCTACGGTTTCTGTTCCATGGCGAAATCGAAACTTCCGTTGTTTTGCTTGGCTGATTTAGGTTGGAGGGAATTAAGGTTATTTAAGCGGTTCAGAGTTAATAAAGTGGTAGATATGATGTTTCACAAGGTGCTGCTAGAGTTATGTGAAATCTTACTTCTGATTTTACTATATAAAACACAATAATAACCAAGTTCTCCTACATGTTTGCTCGGAGGTGTACGGAGCATCCTGTCCGCTCATTGGTCAGTGAATGAAACCTCCGTTGATTGGTCCTCGTCCAAGCGACAGCGATGAAAAGTTGAAAATATTTAAACTTTCTGGGATCGCGTCGCTGGGTCGCCTGCGCACGACACGTGCACGAGCGCAAAATTTCACACGCACGTTTTTCGCGTTCCGCTTGGTAGGAGGGAGACCCGCGATTATCGCTTTGTCGCGCATGTCTCAATGAAAATGAATGGAGGAGAGGTGATGTCGCCTCCCATGTGTCGAGCCCATAACGCTATTGGTTAGATCTGGTCGACGCTCAGTTTCCTATTGCATGGAGCTCTGCGGGGCAGGGGGCGTGCTTAGCAAAAAAAAAAAAAAAGACGTATTGCTTATATCACAGTACATGATACGATAATCACTTTTACGGATTTCTAACAAATCATACATAATTTCTGAAAGAGGAAAACTCTGGAAAGCAGCTTTAATGCTTCTGTGCCAAAACTTGTATATATTAGCAGTGTGAATGCTTCTTAATGGCTAGATTCAATACAGGTGTGGAACCATTTTAAATGGGGGAACTCATCTTAACATAACACCAGTGAAAAATTATGCATGTCAAAAAAGTACACCTATGTTGTTTTCATGTATAGTACAACCGTCTGTGGTATGGTGTCCAGCGGTGTCCATTCTCCATCCCAAAACTGTATGGCATGGTCTTCTTTTGGAGTATTTTTCTTGGCCATCTGAAAAAACAAACAAAAAAACCTAAGTGATTATTCAATAAAAAAAGTAAAAGATGATTTTATCTATCTGGTGAAGTAGGGACGCTCAATAGGTCGATCCCGTAACTGTTGGATCATTTTGCAACTGTTTCTATTTGATAATTTTGCAATCCCATCTCCCCATCCTGATGGGGAAGCCGCCTGCCGCTACCACTAGTACTATAAAAACCCTGGGGAAACCATGCCTGTCTCTACTTTATTAACAAAACATGTTGTTTGTGTTTTCTCTTTTAAGCAGCTGAACTGTGCCACTGCTGCTGTAAATCGGTAACTGCAATCTTCTAATTGGTGATCTAGTGCTCTAGAAGTTCCTTGATGCTCTAACTCTGACACCTCACATCACAGCACAGTGTTTCTGTGCAAAGAAAAATAAAAAAAACGCTGTTTCCCAGATAAAATAGTAATCGTGATAACTGCGATATCAAACTTATCGTGATTATGATTTTTTTCTTTAACAGCCCAAACTCAGCCCACTGCTTAGTCATTTATTTCTCCACTCTACAGAAGAAGAAAGCAGGATAATGTGATTCTTAAAATGGAAAAAAGTCAACAAAATATACTGGAAGAAAATTCTTGAACGATTTAAAATACTGACTTGGCTTCAGATTTGAAAATTAAGAGGCTGACTTCACACTCTCATCTATCAGGAAAAGCACACTTTATTTTTCATGTGGGAGCAGAAAACAACAAATGATTGAACTCCAGTAGTAAAAGCACAGAAACCAGAAAGGCTTTGTTCTCCATAATTGTCCAACCTAAGCACCCTAGTGGTTCCAAAAACACACATGGTGTCCCACCTGATGCTTCTAATGAACTATAATGAGCTCTTCAAGTGGCAGGCTGTTCCTACTCTTTCAAACAAAAACCAAAATTCCAGATCTCTACCAGTTTTTGTCGCTGGCGGGGTCACCGGGTTCAGCTGCTACTCACACCGAGGGGAGACACGATATCTATAACTCTCAGGTCAAATCCTGGCTTTCTCAAAACTGCCTACGGTTAATTGACAGCAAAACAGATGCCATACTTTTTAGCCCCACCAACACGAATGGTGCTTTAGGTGTCCCAACTCTCCCTTCACTCAATCTCAAATCATGTGCCACTAGCCTAGGTGTGAAACTGGACTCTGAACTTTCAATGACTTCACAAGTCAACACCACTGACAGGTCCTGCTTTTTCCAACTCCGCCGCATCACACGTCTCAAATCAATCCTCAACAGCCCGCATCTTGAGTCAGTCATTCATGATTTCATTACTTCACGTCTGGATTATGCAACTTCTGTCCTGATTGGGATTAATGCTTCAGCCCCAAGCAGACTGCAGAAGGTTCAAAATGCTGCAGCCAGATTTTTAACCAACACTGACAGACACATGCACATCACACCTATCCTCGCAGATTCACGCTGGCTCCCGGTCAAGTTTAGGATTCATTTCAAGGTCTTGTTATATGCATACACGGCTTTGTATTGCCCATCCTCATCCTATCTGACAGACCTGCTGACTCCGTATGTTCCCACTCGTGCCCTTCGTTCAACAGATCATCTGCTGCTTGTTGTTTCGAAGGTTCGGTACAAATCACGGGGGAGCGTGCCTTCCCCAACTCTGAAACACTCTGCCCTTCCATGTGCGTTTGGCTCCCTCTGTCAGCAGTTTCAAGTCGGCCCTGAAAACACACTTTTTCAGTATTGCCTTACCTCCGTGACACTTTTCATGAAGATCCATCACCGGGTTTAATTTTCTTAATTTAGTTTTTGTGATTCAGTAGCTCACTTTTAACACCTCGCACCATCTTGTAGCTTTTTTGGTTTTATTTGTGCCGTTTCAAATGGTTTTTATCATTCGTCGCATAATTTTTATTTTAGTGCTGTTAACTGTTTGCTTATTCTATTGTTTTTAGTAGGGATTTTTATCCTTGATTATTTATGCAATGTTTTTATGCATTTTACCAGATTTTCATGCTTTCATTGTGTTTTGTTGATTTGTTGAAGCATTTGGCTCTTTTATGTATTTTTATGCTATTTTGAAATGGTGCTTTATAAATAAATTGGTATGGTATGGTATGAAGCTCATCATATTAAATAAATAATTTCATTTGGAGTCAGTTCAGTTCCAGTTAATCGGAACAATATTATTATTATCTAGCAGTTCATTATGGTGGACAATAACGTGCGTCCTCCATAGAGGATATAGGATTCCATCCATCCATTCATTCTCTTCTGCTTATTCGGAGTCGGGTCGCGGGGGCAGTAGCCTAAGTCGAGAGGCCCAGACTTCCCTCTCCCCAGCCACTTGGTCTCTTCCGGGAGAACCCCGAAGCGTTCCCTGGCCAACCGAGAGACATAGTCCCTCCAACATGTCCTGGGTTTCCCTTTAGGTCTTCTCCCAATTGGACTTGCCTGGAAAACCTCACCAGGAAGGTGTTCAGGAGGCACCCTGACCAGATGCCCGAGCCACCTCATGTGGCTCCTCTCGATGTGGAGCAGCAGCGGGTCTACTCCGAGCCCCTCCTGGATGACCAAGCTTTTCACCCCATCTCTAAGGGAGAGCCCAGCCACTCTGTGGAGAATATAGGACTATCAACACCAATAAATACATCACATTTATCATTTCAGGTCCATCACAGTCAGTCCCCGTCTTCCTCATGAATCTTACCTGGTAAAACGTGTTCACTGAAAAATCCAAACATTCTTTGAGGGCTGCTAGTCCGTTTGATTGACAGCTGCTGTTTATTCTCCGTCGCCATCAAAGTTTTTTGGCAAAAAACAAATAGTTTACACCCTTGTCCGTTAGTGTGGCCAACCATGCGGCATCTATTACCATTTAACTGTGAAATCAACTAAATCAAAGTGATATAAAACAACCAAAGCTTGTTTTGACTAACATCATGGGACTTTCATCGTGTGTAGTTCGTTTCTCTGCTGTCCATCATGGCAAAGGAGGCGGTCCCATGAGCACCGTGAACACGTTTAAATGGTCAGTTTACAGATGCTCACTCACGCAGTTGTCTCACACTGACATCTTCACCACCTCTGTTGGTGTTCATGTGTACGTTCTGTTTGGGAATTGTGTGTTTGTACGTTCTGGGAGAATTTCCATGAGAACAGTATTGAATGCAACAGACCACCATGTGCAATAAAAGTTGACTGGTCATAATCTAAAGCCAGTGCTAATTTTAGATATCAGTGCAGCCATTGGCTGATTTGAAGAAGCCAAATTTCATATAGTTAAATATTTCTATGAGTCATGACCAAAAACAAAAAACAAAAAAACAATGACTTCTTGTGATCTAGTGATTTAGCCATGGAACTCAATGCTGATTATTCAACTTTTGCAGGAAATAAAAATATTTTTTTTCTTCTAAACGTCACATTTCTGACCAATTAAAATCTCTGAAATATAAGATCTCACCAACAAAACAGCACACTGCACAGAAATAATTCCAAACTTGACTTGCATAGACGAAACATTAGTTAATACGAGAGTGTGTTTGTACTGGTACAGTACATCTGAGAACACCCTAGAAAATCAAGACTTGTGAAATATTTAGTCATCTTTCTTGTTTCAAAGTAAATATGTTGACTACTGTCTTCATTGTAGCGCTGGCATTATCTGTCAGCATTGATTTCTCCTCAGTAGGTGGTTTAAAAGTGTTTATTACAGCTTAACTGGTGCCAACTCCACCAATCACTGTGTCAGACTGCATGGGTGGATAGCCCACGTATGTGTGAACCTTTGGCTAAACATTACAGGGACACATATTTAGAGCTGCAAGGGAGAAAAAATGCTTTATTGCCTTTTTTCTGTTTCCTGCATCTTCTCTTATATTGTCATCTCTTGTTTTTCTTCAGCAATCTATAACTACGACGCCCGGGGAGACGAGGAGCTGTCTCTGCAGATCGGCGACACGGTGCACATACTTGAGACGTATGAAGGTGAGGACAGCCCTGTGTTACAGCTAATAGGCCAGACTTGAGCTCCCCTTGTGGGTTCTCAGTGATACCTTTTCATCTTTCTTTGCAGAATTTAGTAGATTTCTTTATTATAATTTTATGAGTGTGGGCTAGGGTTGGAGTTGGTCTGACCCTTAATATGAAGCCAAAAGCAGCCTGGATGCTGTGATTTTGCCAGGAGAGCTGTATTGAAAAGGCTGGGTAAAAACAAAATTACAGCCTTTTTACTTTTTTAAGCCACTCGACAGAATCTGATCTCTGGAGGCCAATTTTAGAAAAACGTCTGCTTTTATGGACATTTTCATTGTTCTTCTGATGATGTGTTATTAGTGTACAGACTGCTGTTTATCTTTGGTTTTAACTCGAGCTACGATGTGGTATTTCCTGACACATCATGAATTTTTAAGTAATTATAAAAGATGTTTAATGAGAATAAAATACAGTCTGTTTATTTCTATGCTCTGTCAGGCTGGTACAGGGGTTACAGGCTGAGGAGAAAATCAAAAAAGGTAAGAGGCCTATAATGATTTTTAATGTTATTATTTAAAAATACATATTTAGCTTCTTTTTCAGCTCTTTCACAAAGTCTTATGTGTTTTTTTTACCCTTCAGGGCATATTTCCTGCTTGCTATATACACGTGAAGGATGCCACGGTGGAGGGCAGTGGGTCAGTTCTTCTCATTTTCTGCATTCGTTTTTAAAGTTGAAGTGTTTAACAGCACCTCTTCAAGACTGTTGATCGCCATCAATAATTTCAGGCATGGTGTACCTAAAAATACCGTCTGATGTTGGGTAAATACAGGTGGTGTTACTGTTTTGTTTAGAATAGTCTGAAGGAATTGATAAATGTGACTCTTCCACCTTTTGTCCTAACACCGGTTTTGTAGTCTGTGTGTAAGACTTGAGGAGAAAGGGCAGAACACACACAGAGTTACTGTTTCAGACTTGTTTACTGTCACCGTAGGCAAAAGGAGACGGTCATTCCCACTGAGCTGCCTCTGGTTCAGGAGGTCACCACAACACTGCGGGAGTGGGCTACAATATGGAGAGACTTGTATGTGGTGAGTCCTTTTACATCAAATACACACTTACGTTGGACATGAAGCAGGAAGTAGATCATGTAACAAAGATCTGATCAGAAATGTTTTCTAGCTTGAGCATGTGTATTTTACAATTGTAGCATCGTTTATGCCCGGTTTACACTTTGCGGTTTTCGACCATCTGACCTCAGTCCCTTCACGCCAGCAGAATCGTGACAAAAACTGTAAACGTGAGGGTAATTTGCATATCTGTGGACGTACACAGATATGGTTAGCGATCTGCTTAGTGACGTATACTTTTGGGAGGTGCGCTCATGACATAGTGTGTCCTGCTGGAGCGAGACGTCGAGCAGTCTGTCTCACAGAAATCTTTGACATGGAGGAATTAATGTTAAATTCAACTTTTCAATTCAATTTTTCAAAGCTGTTTAATGAAAGACTAACACTTTGAATTAGCCTTAATGCTTCACAAGAAACGTACTGAATTATAAAAATGTTATAAAGTTTGTTTCTGCATCAACGGTCTGCTGGAGAGATGAAATTCTGCTATTACTGAAATGCAGTTGAGGGCCGCTCAGAATCCCTCAGGGGGCTGGAACGGGCCCTCAGGCCACACTTTGGATGCACCTGCTTTTAGAGGTTTTCATGTTTTGATGCAGTAGCTTTGTCTAGACAATAATTATTCAGATATTTAAGCTGATTTGCAGGATTCACAGTTTTGATGACTTTAACTCAACCCTAAGAAATCACAGAAGACTTTGTACACAGAAGTACTTCAACACAATAGAGTCTGGGTCAAGTTCTAGTCTAGTCTGGAGTGAAGACTTGGGACTTGATTGCAATGCGATGGCTGTACTCCTGCTTATGTGAAAGTTTATTTTCAGCTAAAGAAAAGAATAGCTCCATAAATCTGGATTTACCTTTGCTGCCTGCCTTATTGTGCATTTTTGTGAATCGTAATTGAGAAGTTGTCATTTGTAGTTGTGCTCATATACTTACCTGTATGTGTTCACCTGTCTGAGCATGTAACAGATGAAAAGTGGGAGCTTTGTTTTTTCCTGACCGACAGAATTAGGCCACACTGTGTTTTTTTTCTGCTCTGCAGACAGGGTAGGACTTGGCATTTGTAAATTTCCTCTTGTGTCTCAGCTGTTCAATGTTTTATCTGAAAAAGGGGGACAAGCGTGAGATGTTCAACTCTGTCCGCGACATGATCTACGACCTAATTGAATGGCGGTCACAGATCCTGTCCGGCACGCTCCCCCAGGACGAGCTGACTGAGCTGAAACAGAAGGTCACCTCCAAGATAGACTACGGCAACAAGTGAGTAAAAAGCTATCGTGCTATTGTGGGTCCGCCATTTCCTCTCTATGGATTATCTCCTTTTAGCCTGATATCTATCAAGAGAACCGTCCTCCTGCTGGTTTAGGTCAGTACGCCAGTCAGTAGATGAAGACAGATCATCGTTTTGCTTGGGAACAAACTGGAGGGATTTAACTTCAGCTAACTGTTTTCCATCGTGAAGCGACAGCTCTCGTGGTATCTGCAGCGATACTAGTAAAGCATCTGAAAATAAAGATCCAATCTGCTGCTGTGATGAAAGTTTACACCTTTGGGCTGGTAGGAATGTTGCTTTTGCCTCTGCAGAAGCAGGTGGCGATGGGTTAATGAAAACACATCAAGTGCATGTAGACAGCATGCTGTTGTCTCTGCGGAGTCCTGCTCAGAGCAGAAGGAGCAGGTATACAACAAGAGAGTTTTGAAAGAAGAGTTGAGCTGAAGAGATGCTACATCAGGTTAAAATGAGGCGGCTGGAGGGGCAGTTGCTAGTGCTGTTCCAACCATGAAAAATGCTACTAGAACTTTATTTATTTTGAATCCTGGTGTGTTTTGGGTCTTTTTCAGCGACGCTCTTCTTTTCTCTTATACCAGATACTTGGATCTTGATCTGGTGGTCAGAGACAAGGATGGAAACATACTGGACCCAGACCTGACCAGTACCGTCAGTTTATTCAGGGCACACGAAGCAGCCTCCAAGCAGATAGAGGACCGGATCCAAGAGGAGAAGGTGAGCGTTTGGAGGATCCGGCTCTCTCCTCGTACCACACGCTGATTATCACTACATTTGTCATGAAGGGAAACACAAATATAAATTTTGTAAGCTAGGCTTAGTGTTGCTGCCCTTTAGTAGATTTGATCCACCTTGGGTTAATTTCAGCATCCTGACATGGCTGAGTGCCTTCAAGCACTGGTGCTGATGCAGGATTCATAGCTGAAGCTGTCCCTGATTGAGTAGCGCTCCTGTATCACAAACACAAGATTCATAAATGATACCAGGTACCTTTTTTCTGGGAATGACTGGAACTGTGGCAGTACTCCAGAGTATTTAATTCCAAACGGGATATATGTGTATATATATATATATATATATATATATATATATATATATATATATATATATATATATATATATATATATATATATATATATATATATATATATATATATTCCTTTATGTCTTACAAGAAAACTGCAGCTTTGCCTTAAAGTTCTTTAGGGGGCTTTTTCCTGCCACGTCTCTAATGCAGGTCAATCTGTGCAATCTCTTTCTGATTATCTGTGAATGTGCTTTTACCCCAATGGCTACTTCAGAGGTTATTAAAGATTCCCTTTTGTATAAGATGGTCTGAATTTGGTGACACAGTCACTCAGTCAGTAGAAATCTGCATCGCTTGTGTGAGATTTACTTCCAGTAATTTGGAATCTTCACGAATCCCTCGGCACAACTTTATCTGAATGGTTTAAGCTCCTTTCCAACATGGTGTCTTCTCTGTTTTGCTGATGACAGTAGAGAGATAGTCTGAATATGCACATGGGCGACAGTACTATACCACAAGCTCCAATGGCTGCTTTTCTAAAAGTGTTGCTAAATAAATTGAATGCATCTAAAATAGATGAATCACTTAAACCAGTGAGCAGATTTTAACTTGGATTAAACTAGGACTGTCTAACCAATCAAAATCGCACAAAGGCAATGTTGTAGATTAGAAAGATGGCATTTTCACCCATTTTGAAGACTAAACTCACGTGTGTTATGGTGATAATTTATAATGTATTTATACATGAGCCTTTCGTGCTCAGGCATGGCGTCCAACATACTTTCTCTGTATAGCTCTATTTCTATTTCCAAGTATCAATGCTCCTAGTAACACACACTAAGTCGATCGAGGTCGATCTAAAGTAATCAACTGGGAGTCTTTATCCTAGTTTACATGTACATTATAAAACTCTAATGAAGTGTGTTCCACATTAGGTGGCGACATGCGTCCTTTCATGTCGGCATTCTTCCGGTTAGCTTATTAGCAACACAGATAGTAAACAAACGCTAGCGAGTGGGAAGCAGGCGACGGTAAAACAGGATATGCACAATGGCTGGAGGAATGGACAACAGCGCTGCAGCACAGCTTATTTAGCACGTACTGTTAGATGGGGTTCCACACAGTGCTTTAAGTGTAAGCCTATATCGTTACGTTAGTACTTTTTACTTTTACAAATGTTGTGTAGATGGTGTGTTACTTCTGAGCTGAGCTGATGATAACCAGGCTGCTCAGGTGTTCTTGTGCTGTAGACGAGCCTCAGGTTGAGAAGCTTCACTCAGCAGAAGCAGCTGTAGCCAGAAATCCATCACTCTAGCAGTTTAGAGACAATGGGTTTATGGCCATGCATCGCGACGAGCTCGCTTCTGCTGGGGAGCAGAGGGCAGACGTGGCAGCAGGTGACACGCGCATCAATAATCAGATGTCCTCCTCTACATACAGACTCAGAGGTGGCATCTTTTTCCACCTGAACTCAGTTGGACCTGTGAGATCCTGTGACGCAGGGAAACCATGTGGATCGAGGAGCGTCCAAGAGATTAAAAAAAGTGTTTGGAGACATTGGGTTGGTGTGGATTGTTTGTGAGTGTGACCCCGACATAGCTGTGATGGCTACAGTGCACCAATGCACAAAATGAGGCCACTCTTTGAGCGTGTTGTGTGTATCAGAGGGCTGGAACAGGGCTGGGGGAACTGTGGATGGCTATTTACTTGGAGACGGGCAGATACGTTTTCAGAAATCTTGGAGATTAACGTTAATAAATGACTGGAAAATCTACCGGTACTTAACTTACCCAAAACAAGTCTAGGTACGCTGAGAGGTAAAACTAAGAAGTGCCGGTACTGCGTACCAGTGTGTACTGGTCCACTTAAAGCACTGGTAACTCGTGTTGCTTTGTGATGATGGTATTCTCAGAACACTGCTTCCGCGGTCTCGTCACTTCCAGAAGTTACCGACGTCAACACGACTGACCCGATTACATGCAGATGCATTCGGCTTTCCCACCACATTATCTGGGTGCTTCAGTACGATTAGAGCCAGGTCACCTTCAGCAAGACTAATGCGTTTATGTCGTTTAAAAAAGACGGTAAATTCATTTGTTACCCTTGGTGCTTTTTGGATTAAAGTCCTTTATCGGACAATGCGCTTTATCGGTTTGGTGGGTGGGATGTTACTGCGACTGAGTGAAAAAACGAAAATGGCGATGGCTCATTTGAAGTGGCTTTAACCTCAACTATGGACTATTTAGACTTGGGCTTTTCTTTTAGTCCAGAGCAGATAGAGGTACTCCTTTATTTAGCAAAAGGATGTATTTGTATCTTTTTTGTAAAGTGGACTGCCCCGTTCACTTGACATACGTAGCGGTGAGTATGTCACATTGTTCAATGTCCAATGCTGAGACTGTTAGAAACCGTAGAGTCCGCACCACTACTGAGCTCTTTCTATAGGTACTGGACTGTATATTCACGTATAGGATGGCTTGCCAGGCTAGCAGAAGGGAGGATGGGGCAGATTTATAAACAGAGACTGAAGGCCATGCTGAGTTGTTTTGACCAGTGGAGTAAAATCCATATGCTGGACTGCTTTTCTGACTCTGAGGTTAGAGGAATACTCTTTGCTTGAGTTTAAAAGTTACACGTTGAAAGAAGCTAATAAACAGCACTGCAGTGACTGCCTGTAGATTATTCACTGCAAATATTTCAGGCCTCTGCATAATTAAACACCCCTTTATGACCCTAATTATACTAATTCAGTGGTCACATTTCATTGTTTTTTTTTCAATGATCATAAATCGTTTTTAAACCATTGTAAATAGGAAATGTGGATTCCAAATTTAAAAACCTGCTGATTCAATAAAAATGACTGGAAAATATTAAAATGCATGCTAGGAATCCTTATATTCGAAGAAAAATTAAAATAAAATTACGATTGCACTTTGACATTAAAGCATGATTGATATTCTCTGCATGTGGAAATGGAATAGAAAGGGGTTCTGCCTCACAGCGGGAATGCCTCTCTCACTTTCCCATCTTTCTCCCATCCTTTTCTCTCCTGCTATAATGTCTATCTAGCTGCCTTTCTTTCCTAAGGTCCTGTGCCCAGTCCCTCTTCCTCTGCAACACCAAAAATGCTGAAAACACCAGCAAGGAAAGATTTAGCATCAAGTGAAAACTAAATCTACAAAAAAAGTTTCAAAAAGTCATGAAGTCAGGATTTCCCCCCTTTGTCATCAAATGTGGAATGAAGATGTGGCGCTTGCACATCTCCTAAGTTCTAGAGGGAATAGTGAGAGGTGACTTCTGACACGTGAATACGGCCACATCAGGAAGCTAGGAACTCAGCCAGATTCCCAATCTGCTTCGCTCAGCACTTCAGCTGCATCACACACCTGGCTGTCAGTTGACAATATATAGAAAAGGCCGGGCGTTAAATGTCCCACAGTCCTGTGGTTTCACCTTACACGACCTTTTTAACCACAGGTTTTTATTGCATATGTAGAGGCAGCGAGAAAGTGCCGCCCAGGTCAACATCATGAATATTAAAAATGTAGCTCCTGCGTAGCTTTGATGGCACCATGGTCCCATTGTAACTTCTTTTCCTGAGTTTAGTTTCTGATTGATTTCATAGGAACTTTTTACAATTCTAGAGTCTGATGGACACACTTTTGTTTACCAACACACAGCACAGATTCTTTGCTGCATGTGTTAGAAAGCTCCTTAAGAATCCTCAAACTCACCGTGATGTCTCTCTTTTTCTCTGACAGTCTCAGAAGCAGAATATTGATCTGACAAGACAAGCTAAGTTTGCCTCCACACCGGCTTTTGCCCTCTTCGTGACTCTGAAGAATGTGGTGTGTAAGATCGGGGAGGATGCCGAGGTGCTCATGTCTCTCTATGATCCAGTGGAGTCAAAGTTTATCAGGTGAACCCAAGTGTTGCTGTTTTTAATTATTTTTTCACACATAGATCCAGCGGATATTGCTAATAAAACCAGCCTGTCAGAAGCATCACAGTTGAATGAGACCTTTAGATGAAAGTGTTGACACAAAATCTATCTAGCCTTTAAGTTTTGGGTTCATGCAAAAGCAAACATTGTTTTATTTTTATTTTTAAGATCTATTGAAATGCCCTCATAGACTTCTGAACATGTAAATTCATGCTATCCAAACAATGACGACAATAAGTTTAAAAATGGTGAGCTCTCTTTCTCCCCCGGCAGTGAGAACTACCTGGTGAAATGGTCCAGCTCGGGTTTGGTGAAAGACATTGAACAGCTTCATAATCTGCGTGCGGTCTTCACGGTGGGTGTGTTTAGTGATGTGTGTTCATGCTTGTGTGTGTTACTGTTAGGGTTATTCAGCCCCGCTATGAGGCATTTGAGAGGCTGTTTGCAGAGGGCTTGTGTTTGTTAAGCTTTCAGTAAGATCCTGACAAGCTGTATTTATTTACCAAGCTAGTCACCTCTATCTAATGGAAGGCCAAGGTCAGCAGGGGTCAGTGTGCATGCTCTGTAAGCACTCTGCTGCCTGGGGTGTCATTACTCACTTAAAAAATAAAGGAAAGAAAATAGGGCTGAATCTCAACTGTGCGGTAAAACGTTTGCATTTAGAGCAAAGTTACAAACACTTGAGAGATATTTTTATTAATGGATTTGTTGTTATTGGTGAGAACAGTAGGACTGCTGTAGGCTGAAGGAAACTACACCCAACAAAAATTTAACCGCAACACTTTTGTTTTTACTCCCAGTTTTCATGAGCTGAACCCAAATGTCTGAAACTTTTTCTACAAACACAAATCACCCATTACTCTCAAATATTGTTTTGAAATCTGTCTACATTTGTGCTAGGGAGCACTTTTCCTTTACCAAGATAATCCATCCACCTCACAGGTGTGGCATATTAAGGGGCTGATTATACAGCATGAATAATGTAAATGTGTGCCTTAGACGCCCACAATAAAAGGCCACCCTGAAATGTGCATTTTGATCAAACAGCACTATCCCACAGATGTTGCAACCTTTGAGGGAATGTGCAGTGGGCATGCTGACTGCAGGAATGTCTACCAGAGCTGTTGCCCATGAAATGAATGTTCATTTCTCTAGCATAAGCCTTCTCCAAAGGTGTTTCAGAGAATTTGGCAGTACATCCACACCAGCCCAGGACCTTCATATCCAGCATGTTCACCTCCAGGATCGCCTGAGACCAGCCACCCGGACAGCTGCAGCAACAATCGGTTTGAATAACCAGAGAATTTCTGCACAAACTGTCAGAAACCATCTCAGGGAAGCTCATCTGCATGGTCGTCAGCCTCTTCTGGGTCTGGACCCGACTGCAGTCTGTCATTGTTACCAACTTGAGTGGGCAAACACTCGCATTTGAATGGCAGGCGTATGTTATGAACAACGAACACAGAGGTACCGTGACAAGATACCGAGGCCCATTGTTATGCCATTCATCTACGACCATCACCTCGTGTTGCAGCGTGATAACACACGGCCCCATATTGCAAGGATCTGTACACAATTGCTGGAAGCTGTAAACATCCCAGTTCTTGCATGGCCAGCATCCTCACCAGACATGCCACCCATTGAGCATTGTTGAGGGTCTGACCTCATGAGGAAATTACTATGCAGTGATTTTCTCCAAAATGACTGTGCTTAAATTGCTCTGAAAAGCAAATAATCACATCAGCGCCAAGAAACTTCATTTCCCATGATGCTTTGCACACGGAAGCATTGGGAGGATGTCACCGCCTAATACCAGAAACACGTTCTGCGCATGTGCGGGAGGCCGTGGAGCTTTTCCCGCGAACTAAGACCATAAATCTTCAGCAAAGACAAAGAAACCTCGTTCTTTTGCCCAGGATACCTGGCGGTAAGGACACGCTTGTCGAACGCTCCGACTCCCTTGAGCACGCGGAAGCTCTAAGTGCCCAAGTTGAGCCACGGAACTGCTGGAAGACTAAACTGCAAGCCCATCAGATCTGCTCGTTTCTGCTCCCCTCCAGCTGATGTTTGAGGACACAGAACTGCGGAGGAAAACAACAACTCCATCAAGCACGCTGTAAGTTCTAACTCTGCACAGAAAGAAACTTTGCTGTCTCTGTCCAGCCCGTGGAGAAACACTCGTGGGGCCAAAACAACGGAGAAAGCATCAAACCGACGGACGACGCCAAACTGCGGAGATACTGCGGAGAAACACGGAGAACCGTCAAATCAAAACAGCGGGGGACGCCTTGCTGTTCTGGTGATCAGAAAACTCATTTCTCTCTCTCATTTTCTTCTCCCGTTTCCTCTATAGTCCAGAATAAGCAATAAAACCGCGCTATTGCTTAAAAAGTAGCTTCGTGTTTTCCTGTTTCGTTCCCAAACACGTCCGTCGGGTCATTTTGAAAGAATAAACTGCTTATTGATCATTGTTTGGTATCTTTAAATGTTTTCTGCTTGGCCACGTGGTTAAACTAAAAGATATTATTCGTGATTAATCTTTTGTGTTGTTTCATGATCCTTTGAAATGTTTTGAGTTAATTTAAGGTTAAGTTACTTATGATTCTAAGTGCCTTGGAAGTTAAAGTGCAAGTTGCCACCCACACTTTAGCCAGACAAAGGGGTCAGCCATCTTGCATACAGACTCCATTTTAGAAACACACACACACATACATACACACAAAACACCTTGAACATTATTGTGAATATACATCCTTTTATTATATCACATGGTTATTATTCATCTATGCCACTGTTTATTCATTTGACAAATTGTTAATTAAACGTTATAAAATTCAGATTTTCGTCTCCAGTAGCTTTGTTGTGTCGAAGAGAAGTCTCTGCTCCGAGGATTCTACGAACTTCAAGAAAGACTGATAAGAGTTTTGGATTCAATTTTTCCCCGGTTAAAGGGGAATGGTGCCCCGTATATCTAAGAATATCTTAATTAATTAATAAATCAGTAAATATTCCCATATTTACAGAATTTATTGAAGAATCCAAAAGTAAGTTAAAGCTTACAAATTGTTCGCTCCTAATAACCCCAACAGCATGTTTGGGATGCTCTGGATCGGCGTATACGACCGCTTGTTCCAGTTCCTGCCAATATTCAGCTACTTCGCACAGCTATTGAAGAGGAGTGGACCAACATTCCACAGGCCACAATCCATGCAATGGAGATGTGTTGCCTTGTGTGGGGCAAATAGTGGCCACACCAGATACTGACTGGTTTTCTGCCCTACCACCCCCCATAAAGCAAAAATGTGCTCATGTCAGGGTGGCCTTTTATTGTGGGCAGTCTAAGGCACACCTGTATGTTATTCATGCTGTCCAATCAGCCCCTTGATATGCCACACCTGTGAGGTGGGATGGATTATCTTGGTAAAGCTAAAGTGCTCACTAACACACATGTAGACAGATTTCAGAACAAAATTTGAGAGTCATTGGTTTTTTGTGTACATAGACAAAATTTCAGACGTTTGAGTTCAGCTCATGAAAAGTGGGAGCAAAAACAAACGTGTTGTGTTTATATTTTTGTTAAGTGTATCTTGAGATTTAAATGTAAATTTTACAGAGATTTGATTCAAGGGATTCTGATGGCAACACATCGATTTCTTTTAGTAACTGTTAAAAATGTTCCTTTAGGATTTGGGCAGTGAAGATTTGAAGAGAGAGAAAATCAGCTTTGTGTGTCAGATTGTCAGAGTGGGACGCATGGAGCTGAGAGACAACAACACGAAGAAGCTGACCTCAGGTCTGCGAAGACCATTTGGAGTGGCAGGTAAATATCAAGCTAACTGTGGCAAATATTATGAAACTGAAGAAATACACCTTAAAGCAGCGACCCGCAGCTCCTTTTAGCTTTCACTAAGAATAGCTGGAGCCTGAGTGTCTTTTCTATTCAGACCGACAAAAGGAAAGGGTAATTCAGGCACTTTCAAAGGCATATTTGACATTAAATGACAATAATAAGAAACGATTTATTTGCCTGTGTGAACTCTGTAGCTTAATATTAATTAGACAGATTACTGTTATTTTATGGCTTGAATTTTTTTACAATTTGGTTTTCTTTTAGACATTGAATGTGAGTTCCTAAAAAAGCTGTTGGAGGAGCTGCTTTTTAAATACCTCCCAAGCAAGCCACGCCCCCAAAGTTCAGAAAGCGTGATGCTTGTTCCAGAGGGTTCTGCTTTATGTTTTCAACCTTTTGTTGGGAACTTTTCTGCAACAATTTCTAACGTGACGCACCAAAGTAATTGAATAACAATTTATTATGCGAGCTAATGTAGTGTGGTGTTTTTTATTAGCAGCAGTAGCTCAAGAAGTAGAGCGAGTTGTCTAGTAATCAGAGGGTTGTAGGATCGAATTCTGCTGTTGTGTCCTTGGGTGAGAGACTGAACCCGCCTTGCCTGCTGGTGGTGGTCAGTGGCACCAGTGCTCGGCAGCCTCGCCTCTGTCAGCTGTGGCTACACTGTAGCTCATCACCACCAGTGTGTGAATGTGTGTGTGAATGGATGAATGATTCACTGTAGCGTAATGCGCTTTGGAGTCCTCTGAAAGGTGCTAAAAATACGGCATTTCATGAAAAAATTTTTTGCTTTCTTGGTTTATTTTTAAGTTCAAAATCACAGCAGCTCAGTGCCACCAACATTCCATCCATGACACTAGCTAGCCGGACTCTGGCTTTGCTTCCTGTTCAGCTGCTCAAAACTGTGAATGCGTGATGCGTGCACATATGGGGGGGTATGTGCAGAGGGGGGCAGGGACAGTCAGAGGACAGTTTGATGGATGGGTTGGCGTACAAGCATTAACAATGGGACACTCACAATGGTTGGCTGAGGTTTTTCAGGATGTTTCAGAGACATTTCATTCATTAATTGCCATCAGAATGTGAGGAGCATTTCAAGCTTGGGCTGGGCGATAAAACAATAGCAATGTATATTTTGAAATAACTTTTCCTCAATAGACATTTAAGAATGGGTCGATATAACTTCAGTATATAGAATAGCTACACAGCTCAGTAGTGGCCAGATGGACGTGCTGCTAATGGCTAATGTTTGTGTAGCTTTAGCTTGCTGCAGGTAACAGGTTACATGGCTGGTAAATTAGTGTAGTACGTGTTTACCACAGAATACCCAAGAGGACTAACAACAGACTTGACAAATGTACTTATCTATTTAGCAACTTACTGGGTATGACTCACCTTTGCATATCATCTAGAACCTTCTGGTGCTGATCCGTAACTGGCAGCAGCCGTGAAACTCACGAACAGTAGCTTAAAAACTGGACTGCAGTAACCACATTTGACCACAGGATGTCAGTCTTACAAATTGCACCTTTAAAACAAGTGTTTGACCCTGAAGCCTTTCTTCACTGAATACATTATTTGACTAAAATGTCACATATGCACCTAAAGTCAATGGAAGGATTAGCATTTGTTTTATCTGCTGATTGCAAACTTCCAGGTGTAGCGTGAACTAATTATTGCCATTTTGCCTGAAGTGATCCAACAAAGAAAATGATGTCCCTTTCTGTCTTTTTTTCCCTAAGAGCAGGGAAATGACAGGCTGATTTATGTTTAAACATCAGTTGCATACTGCATTAGTTAAGACCCTTTTTATAAAGGTTTGCTCGGCCCTGCCTACAGATATAAAGGTCTTTATATGCTGCACTTCTAGCCTGAAGGGTAATTGAGTGTATGGGAGGTCATTCTAGCGTCATTTCTCATTCACATCATTAGTAACCTATGCAAGGGACAAAATCAAGAATGTGCCTCCTGTTTCTCTGTGACAGAGAGCTCTTTCATTCTCACACAGGCAGAAGAAAATGTGTTTCCTTAATGCCGCCCTTGTTGTGGAATAGGAGACATCACCATATCTGTGTGACATCACTCTGTTTAGTTTAGTATTACAGCATCACACTACTAATGCTGTAATATTAAGAAAAATTGTCACATCCTTGTTGTCTTGTCAATATTTTCTTTGCACAAAATGAAGCTTAATTTTCTACATTTGTGTTTTAGTTTCAAATTTATTCTATCTTCATTTATCTTAATCTTCCTGTCACTGTCTTAATTAGCATTCATTGAAATCAGATGCCTCTTCCCGTCGTTTGATCTTCTTTTCTGTTATTTCCATCATTTATTCAGGTACACTCTTTCTTATACTTGGAGGAGTGTTTTAACCAATTTTTTTTCTCACAGTAATGGATGTCACCGACATCATCACGGGCAAAATGGACGATGAGGACAAGCAACACTTCATCCCATTTCAGCCGTAAGTGAATCTTGCTGCTGCGCGAAATGATAAAACAACATTCATTTGTTCTTTTGCACTTACTTTGATTATTTTGATTGTGTAAAATATACAAAATAATAGCAGTTGTGCTATATTTTTTCCTTATAGCTTCTAAACTTTACCAGTTCTTTCTTCATTCCCTCATGACTCAATTAAAGCAATCTCATTAGCTGCAACCATTCTTTTGTAGGAGGGTGCACAGAGTCAGAATAACCTTTTCCTTAATGCGATTTCTTGCATAATTGAAAATGTTTCAGATTGGAGCAGGTTAGCTAGCAGGCCACCTCACTTAAAGGTTTTATCTGAGTATAAATAATGGAATTTCGAGCCTTGCCTTGTGAGGAGAAGAACGGGTTCTAAAAGGGTTTTCCCTTTATGTCTAAATGTGATTATTAGTCATAGAAAATGCAGTAAGTTTTAAAATGTGTTTGCATTGGTCAATTTTACGTATGCTTGCTAAACCAGCAAAAACAACAAGTGGAAGAGCCGTTTAGAAGGTCTCACGCTGTGATTGGGGTTGCAGTCATAGATTCTAGAAAATGCACTCTATTGATCAACATCTTAGTCAATTGTTTTCCTGAACAATACCTAGGTACACGTCTGCGATTTAAAACCAAATTTAAATAATTAACATGTAGGGAAATGTCATGTTGTGCTGGAATCTTTGATTATATGAGAAACAAAATACATTTACAATATTCTCTATGTAAGTCTCCAAAATTATGTCATCTTTGGAAAAGGGAAGTCCACACACACACACACACGCACACACACACACACACACACACACACACACACACACACACACACACACACACACATGTATATGTAAATGTAAATATGCACATATATATATATATATATATATATATATATATATATATATATATATATATATATATATATATATAGGCATTTCTCTTCATTCTTGTTTTGTGCATCCCACTTTTACGTATATTTTGTAGCTCTTTGTATACAAAGCACCCTAAGGGAACTTATGTAGTGCTGTTAACAGGGCTGAGCCCAGCTCATGATAGAGCTGCACACTTTGGTTTTTTCCCTTTTTTTCCCCTTACATAGCTCTGCTACAGCCGATATTAATAATGGCTGTGGCTGTTTATTCTCTGCCACTAACATTCTGCCTGTCTCTCAGCACCGTGGGTGAGTGAGGCACATAGAGACAGATTCACATGCAGCAGAATTGGATTTACCATAATACATTTAATAAATACATTTGGAAGCATTCTTCACATTCACTTTTCCTCCTTGCAGTATTAGAGTAGAACAAAGTGAACATATTTTTTTTAATAAAGTGTCTCTAGATAGATTAAAAACACTAATAATGGGTGAAAAAGTTAATAGCTTTTCATGTTTTAATGGTATGATTTATATGACTATACTGTGAAGAATGTTGATTTGAAAAAAATCGCAATTCAAACTGAAATTGTAATTTCCCATAGAAAATTCCAATTTAGTATACTGGAGCACCAGTTCTCGGCTGGCCTCCATCTTGGATGGGTCTCTCTTGGCCCTCAGTGCATTTATTTCTACTAAGGAATGTGTTTACTCAACTAAAAAACACATTTTATTATGCTTTTTCACAAAATCAGACATGTGGTATGGCATGATAATTACAATATTTAAAAAAAATTTAATATTAAATCCCATCAAGTCGGCTAGAAAAGTCAACAGTAATCCCACGTGGTCCGTTTTCAATAGTAAGCTGGTTTTTGTAACAGTAGACAGTACAAAAAACAAGCATAGTTGCTCACCCTGCATTGACTCTAGTGGAGTTTGGGGAGTGAGGAACCCACCCAATATGGCAGCGACACTTTTACGCTCTTCAGCTTTCAATGTGGCGCTTACGTATTCATGTCTATGGGTTTTGGAGTCTTATTTCCCGATATTTGGATATCTCGCCCTGGATTGGATAACAGCAACTCGGCTTTACCACTGACTATCAACATGGATGTATCATCTCCACGAACACAAGCCTGAAGGAGTTCTGCCATGTGTTGGTGATGCTAATGCTAACAGTCAGCTTAAACTAGCCGAGACGTTCTCTGCTGTTTCCTTGACACTAAAACAACAACAGCCTTCCCCATCGGTAGTCAAGATGGATGAGTCCACGAATGCTAAGTGGATGTGATGCAGATTTGTGAGGATTTTCTAATCCTAGCGTTTTACTGTCTATTTTCTTTCAGAAGCTAATACAGCAGATAGGTGTAGGAGACCATTTTCATGTTCAGTATGCATGAAAAACTCAGAGTGAGAGATTATAATCAGACAAAAACATTTAAAAATGTGTTTTTCAGTCCACCACACCTTTAGTTATTATTAACGTGTCATGTTGTTGCCACATGAGCCCTCTGTCAGGAGTGTGTGTAAGAGTTAGGTGTGTGTTGCTTAAAAAGGCTGCTGTTGAAATGTTTGTAGCTTTGCTCCAATATAAAAGTCTGTTCATAAAGAACAAAGAGCTACTTTGAGGTAAGATATTTGATTAAAAATCATACCACGTTTTACTGCAGCTGTATTTAGAGCTTCTGTTCTTTGTTTATAATTTTTCTCTGTGTTTTGTATTAATGACCTGGATAATCAGTTTCCATCAGCTCATAATAACTTTTGATCAGTCACTACTGCATAGTCTTTGATAGCTCTGTCTTTTAAATGTTTGGCGGTCTTCACACATCTTTGATTGTATTTGTTCACTCTAGAAATGACATCAGCTCAGAATTACTTTAGCACATCCCAGACCTGAGTCACAGATTTTTACTTGCCCTTCATTCAGACATCACCTTTGTCTTCTCCTCTTTTCAGTTAGCTTTCTTTCTAAGGGTCTTCTGAACTTCAGAAACAGTTTCTGTGTGTCAGATATTTGCAACAACTGCCACTCTGCTTTCCATATTACATCTGATTTTTTTCTTATACTGTTTGCATCTGTTTCAGTAAATTTGTGGCTTACTAGATCTGAAGATGTAGGACATACAAACCTCTTAGCTAACATGTTAAGTTACTTGATGAATGAAATTCTTGGGTTTTTACTATATTACCATTTTACTGAAACACTTTAAAGAGGTCTTCCACTCATATTTTAATACATTTGCCATGGTCCCTAGTAGGAATGAATTCCTTGTAAGTTGTACTCTGGGGAATAAAGATCCGGTGCGCCTGTATCATCACAGATAATTCAGCCAGAAGAGAAAGTAGCTTCAAATGACAGGATTTGGTGTCTTATTTCCTGATACTTGGACATCTTGCCTCTGATTGGCTATCAGCAACACGACTCTACCACTTACTCTGTTTGCTCTACAACGTTTAGGTTTTAACTCCACAAAAAACAAGCCTGGAGGAGTTCTGCTGTGTGGTGGAGTTGCTAATGCTAATGGTTAGCTTCTGCTGGTCCAGACATTCTCTGCTGTTTCCGGGATGCTAAACCAAAAACATTCCCCGTCGGGAGTCAAGATGGATGAGTCCATGAATGTTAGGTGACAGTGTGATGTAGATCTGTAAGGATTTTCAAATCCTAGAGTTTGATCATTATTTTCCACCAGAAGCTAATGCAGGAGATAGGTGTAGGAGACTATTTTCATGTTCAGCCTGCATGAAAAACTCAAAGTGAGCGGTCATTTTCAAAAATAATAATTAAAATGTTTTATTCAGTGAAGGACCTCTTGAAGGCCAAATGAGGGACCACGTTTTT